TCTTGTAATTATTTTCTTTGGCTCATTGTCTGACAAATATTTTTTCTTGGCAATTTCAACGGTTTTGAGGTGTTCAAATTACGCAACTTGCGTAAGATTTAATTTATATTTTTTTATCTGTTTTTTTTCGTAATTCATTGTTCAAGAGAGCATGAAACCGAAACACTTTGAATGAAATATTTTCTCCCACATTTAAGCAAACTTGTCGGCGTTGATTTATTTCTTTATTATTATTACAATTTTTTTTGAAATTTTTTTTAATTTTTTTGTTAATTTTTTTATTTTCTTAAGTTCGTTATATTTTTTGTTTAATTTAGTAGCGATTTACTTTTGTGTATTATCAGCGGCAGTTATTTTAATTTATTTATTTACTTCATTTCAGACATCGAAAAAAAAAAGGCAAACCTTATTTAATGCACATTTTTTTAACATAAATTTTTGCAAGTGAGTATCTTTAGCCATGGGTATTTTTGTATCTTCACTTACGTCTCCATTTGTATGCACAATTTGGCTTTGAGTTGGCATTTTTGCTACCAAAAATTTCATTGTTTGCATTCAAGCTTTTTCTTCCTTTCGGTTTTTTTTTAATGTTTTTTGGCTTGTCCACATCGTGAAAGTAAAAGTTAAATGATATGTTGAAATTTGACAATATGAAGAAATTAAATGATTTATATTTATACAATTTTATATATAGTTTTATATAAACACACTTACAGATACTTAACTTTTCAAAAATACTCGTGCATATTATCCGATTCGTTATGTGGTTAAAATAATTGGTACCGCAAATTGTTGCTTGCAAATTATTGAGTCATTATTGAAATACTTTTAAGATACGTACATAAAGAAATTATTTAAACGGTTTTTATTATGTATATGTAATAATAATATACTATTAAAATCCAATTATGTAAACAAATGTATTTAAAAAATTTAGAAAACCTAACATTTAACATTCGGTTGGAAAAGATTTAAAGATTTTTATAACTATGAACTACTTTTCAGCTTATAAGACTTTATATTTTTTAATTTTTATTAAATACAATTTTTTAAATTGAATTAAGTGTATTGTCTTTAATTGAATTTAGTACCATTTTTATTGTACTTAATAAAAAAACTTTTTTTTCAATTACATTTTAATATTAACAGATGTATATCGGAACCTACAATTTCGAAACTGTTTTTAATTCTTCTATATATCTTTTCCAATATAATTTCATTGACTCCAATATATAGTAGTCGTATCTTCTGATCAAAAAATATCCCGATTTCGTTGTTAAAAAAAATTTTTTTTTTTTGTTGGTACACCTTCTCCTGACATATGGTACAAATTTGAGCGCCATCTGTCAATTAGTTTGTTTGCAGCAGCTGTTAATGTGAGACTACCTCAAGTGCATTTAGCATTTACTATGGAAATTTCTTGTTGTACGCGATTTTTTGACCTAACACGGCACCACTGTCATCGCTCAGGCACCCTATACGCCAGATCTGGATCCGTGCGACTTTTTCCTGTTCCCGAAACTCAAATTGCCCCTTCGTGGTAAGCGTTTTGAATCGATTGAATTGGTAAAAGAGAATTCGCTGAAGGAACTAAAAGCCATACCTGCACGGGCCTACGAAAAGTATATGGAAGATTTGGTTAAGCGTTGGCATATATGTATCGCTTCAGAAGGAGCATATTTTGAAGGAAATAAAATAAATTTAGAGTAAAATTTAAATTTGAGTGTTTTATTTACAAAATCCGGGTACTTTTTGAGCAGAAGGTACTTAATAAAAAAAATTTTTTCTTTCAATTGTATTTTAATATTAATAGATGTATGTCGGAACCTTCAATTTCAAAACTGTTTTTAATTCTTCTATATATCTGTGTTAATATTAATATATAAATATTGGAAGCTACAATTTCATTGACTTCAATATATAGTAGTCGTATACAGATTCGTAGTAGTCTCGAATTTCGGCACCTTTGTGTTAATCCATAATAATACAGAAAACAACCTAATCCAATGTTAAGCTTTACCAAAGAATGAACAATGCATGAACAAATTGCAAAAATATTTTAAGAGCTGTTTTCTGAACAAAAGCATTTAAATATTTATTTACCGTAAACTTTTAGTAAAATACGTAAAAATTGCAAGGAAATCCTAGACATAAGCTGGATAGTTAAAAACAAACGGCAAATATTTATACGAAAGTTTTTGTGAAAAATATTTTTGGTTACAACAAAAAAGGAAGCTAGTGACGACGATATAATCATGAGACTAAAAGGTTATATGGATACTCAAACATATTGACAACCCTTATAACAAATAAAAAAATTAATAGAACACATAATTAAAGGCGTTGAAATTCTACTTCCGAAACCGAGTAGAAACCGCAGTAGAGATTGCCGAAAACAAAGATTCGGGACTCGGGATTGAAAAAGATGTAGTAGAGTTAGATGTGGAGTAAGATTAAAATATTAATGAAAACAGTGTTGATACTTATTATATGACGAATTGTTATAAAAACCACAGCAATTTTATACTCAAATCCATAGGAAACAGTAGTAGAAATTGCCAAAACAAAAATAAATAGACAGGATGCACTATAGTAGAATAAGATGAAGAGTAAGATGTAGAATAAGATTAAGATATTAAAAACAAATATCACTGGAGTGTTAAAATAATAATTACCACTTTTTATAAATTCTTATTATTATTACTAAGTATGTTTGGGAATTTAGCACTATGTTCGAAAATTCTATTGTGAGCCTTCATGGATTGAGTATATTCCTTTAAGTTGAATTTTCTTTATAAATTTTAGTATGCAACCTATTTCACCGAGTCTTATTTCTTATTTTGATATAAAATGACATAATGACATTTCTGCGTTTAGACATAAGTACTTAGTAAGCTTCTAGTACGTGTTTTGCTTCCTACAGATAAACGGGATTGAACATGCAGTAGTAGAGTTAGGATTAAGAGATTAGAAAACACAAAGTTGAAACTGTAATGAATGGATATGGTAACTACAGCATGCTAATATCCGGATTAGAATGACTCAGTAATAATGTTGATAATAGTGATATGTGTACGAAAAATAGCACTGACGACTCGAAGTTTTTTTCTTTCTCTTAAGTATACAATTATTAACTATAGCATTTTTTATTTTTATTATTATTATTAAAATTATTATTATTTTTACTAAAATTATTATTATTTTTATTAAAATTGTCATTATTTTTATTAAAATTACTATTATTTCTATTATTATTATTATGTTTATTAAAATTATTATTATTTTTATACTTATTATTATTATTATTAAGTTGTTCCAAAATTGACTACAAATTAAATATCTATTATGCCCCTTCATAAATTCAGAGAATTTCTCTAAACCCAATTTTCTCAATAATTTTTTGTATAAAATCTATTTCACCGAAAATCATTCCATGATTGGATATAAAAAAAATTTTATGAGATTAAGTTCCTAGGTTTGTACGCTAAAATTTTAACCTATAAATAATGCCCTGTCATAGTTCCTGTAATAATTCTTAAGTTGTTTTTATTTAATTATATACAACCCTTAACAAGTATAATTAAAAGATCTGTAAAAGTAATTTTAATACCGATAGCCTTGATAGATTGTCCCACTTTAACGTTCACTCTTCCTAACCCCCGGCATAGTTCTGGTCATACAAATTGCATTGCTGCTTAGTTTCTAGTAAGTTTGTCTGCGATTTTATTGACGGAACCTACAATATGACACAGAATTCGTATCTATTACTTTTGACCAAAAATATTTAGTATTTCAAGATACTTCATTTCCAGTCTTGATACTCACTTATGAGTATTAAGTGCTTTTATACTTGTTTTTTATGTTTTAATATGAATCAGAATATTTTTCAGTTATTTCTGATCAAAAATATTCAATATTTCAAGATACTCCATTCACATTCTTGATGTCAACTAATAAGAATTAAATACTTTTATGTTTGCCTGGATATCAATAGCCATTTAAAATGGCTATTCTATTGATCTGATGGTTATTTTCAAATATTAAAAATATTGTTAAAAAATAAATAATATTAAAATCTGCTTAAATAATAATATTGATAAAACTAAGAATTTTAAAGAAGGTCCTCTATTTCATAAAAGCGTTAATTATAAAAGACCAACAACTATATTAGAAGTTAAATATATGGTAAAAGCGTTATTAATCATTTACAGATTTTTTATGATTTTGACAATAAAACTATGGTTGGTTTCACTTTATAATATTAGTAGCACTTAAGACTAAAGTTCAAAATCAATATCTATTACAAAAGCTTTTACTTTAATGGACAAATAAAATGATTAATAAAATGTTCAAATTAATATTCAAATAAATAAACTATATCTATCTGGTAAATATCTTTTTGGTATTAAATAAAGTATGTTCCATACTTCAAAAATAAAATTATTAACTAAAAAGCTTGTATAGCACTTAAGACCTTTTGAAGAAGAAATCGTGACTGCATTATAACTTGTAATTGGAGAAAAAATTGGTCAACTTTTTCATAGTCAAAAATAAAAAGTAAATTTAAAAATAATTTGCATATATTTTAATTTGTACATTTTTACAAACTCTCCGTTGAATAACTTTTACATAAATAACTATAAATATCTTTAAGCTATATTTAACCATTAAATAAATATTAATAAATAGCGAAAATAATAAATAATATAAATATCTACTTACTTGTAAATTTCATAGCAGAATTGTATATCATAATACATTAAAAGTAAAAACAATAAGTACATAAATAAATTAGCAATAAAAGTTAACAAATTGATAATTAATCCAACGATAACAACAAACAAATAAAAAAATAATAACAATAAATAAAAGCAAGCCAAGCAGAGCTTAGTGGATGCTTTAACATAGCTCATGCCACAACGTGCTCCAGACTTATTAACAATGCACGTTCCAACTTGCAAATTACAGCCATTAAAGCTTCAATTTAACAAACTGTAAATCTAAGTGGAAGATCGTCGTCGGTAAAGCGTAATTAAATTAGCCTGAGGCGGCACAGTTGCGGCAGCGGCGGCTGCCTCAGCATTAGCAACAGCAATGGAACTTGGCGAGTACGTCGATTGTACTAGTTCAGTGCTTAGAAGTGAATCTGCTTCGCCAGTTCCACTGTAATCGTATTCAGCATTCGCTGTCAATTGTGGTGCACTGTTACTATTTTGAACTACCTGCGCCGAGCTGGCATAGTCAAGGCTGCCCTCACCCGTGCCTGTGGCACTGTTACTATTATCGGCTGTATCTGCTGCATCGGCTGCATCGGTTTCATAAGTTTCATATTCATAATCATGTTTGCTATTATCATTAGCTTCATCGGTATCGACATCGACATCGACATCGGTATCAGCAGCACTATTATTGCTATCATTGCTATAATTACTGCTGCTATCGGCTGGCGTAGCTGCAACTGCAGTTGGTAATGCAGTTGTTGTTGATGTTGTTGTTGCTTGTGATTGCGATTGTGCTTGTGCTTGTGCAGTTGCAGCATTTACTGCATTTAAAGAGTTATAAATATTGTCAGTAAATTCAATTGATTCAATAGCTATTGGTGTTGCTATTGTTGTTGTTTTTGTTGTGATTGCTGTTGGTGCCGGTGTTGTAGACGTCGTCGTTGTTGTTGTTGTTGTGTGTGCTATTGTAATTGCATTGATTATTGCCTGATACTCATTTATTGTATTTGCGGTCTCATCATTAATTGGGGTTTCCACCGTGGTTGACATTTCACTTTCTGTTGCTATTGCTGTTGCCGTTACTGTCGCTGCTGTCGGCGGTGAATTTGTTGTGATTATTGGTTGCTCTTGCAATTGTTGCATCTGCATTTGCAGCTGATGCATATTGGCCTCTTCATCCTTTTGCTTTTCTGCTTCAATAAGTTTTTCATCTTTGACTACATCCAATTGACCATAGCTATAATTGACGTTTGCATTTGTGCTTACATTTTCATTTTCATTTTCTTTTACTTTTTGGTTTAAATTTGCATTTTCTTTTTTATTTTCATACACATTTTCTGTTTCTTTGGAATTAACTTCATTTTCAATTTCATTTTCACTTTCTTCAGTTTCATCGTAATAATCAGTGTCATCTGAGGCTTCGTTTTTACTATTGCTTGACGGTACGACAGGCTGTCCATTCTTATCAACATACATCACGCCATCCAAACCCATTTTCATGCATTGGAAATGCATTTCAAATAGATCTGTCGTTGCCAATCTCACCACGAAATCCATACACATATTCAGATTATTTCCCTCTACATTTATATTCGACATTTGAACACACATAGCCATTGGTACACCCATCATGACTGGTATACAGAATGGTGATGGGTCCCTCACTGAGATGCCATATTTTGACGATGGTCTCTCGTTTAGGTACACCTCAAGCAATGCTTCTTGCTTGGCTCTGACGAATGTTGTATTTGCACACACTGAAAGGAAATAAATTTGAAATTTATTTAAAAAGAAATATGAATTAAAATTGTATTTTTTTAAAATTAATGTATAAAATAAAACTGAAACATGATATATGAAATGAATACCAAAAATTGATTAAATTGTTTAAACATAACTCAAAGATTTTAATTAACTGTATTGGATTTAAATTGGATTGAATAAATTTTATGGTTATTCAGCTACTTTAAATCTATTTCGAGAAAAATTCAAAACTTATAACTCGTAGGTTTTCTATTCTATTCAAAGTGGCATTGATATTAATATTTAAAAATATTTTTTTTTTTTTTT